CCAAACAGTGGGCCAGCAGCGAAGGTATAAATCTCTTTACCGACAAGGAAGAGGCCCAAGCAGCAGCTTGCGGAACCCGGGGGGCCCCTGAGGAACCCCGGTGGGCTTGCTATCCAGCCCCCAGAGGTGGCGGGCTTTGTCTGAGGGTGGAGTGGAAGCCCCCACCCCTGGTTTGGTGCTGTGCCTCCAGCGTAGAGTGGGTGGCGCTTGTGTGGCCCAGGAGTCCTGTCCTCCTGATCCTAGGTGATGGCGTTGGTGTGGGCGGTGACAGGGCACCCAGGGAGCTTTGCCCAGCCTGGCCCAGGGAGAAGCCATGCCAGGGCTCATCAGCTGCTGCCAGTGAGGTTTCCCCGGCTCAGCCTCCTGAGAGGCGGGCACGCGGACTGCGCCCTCCTGATCCACTCCTGGGACCCTACCACATCCCTTGGGAGCAGGGGCCCGAGCTGACACAGTGCCCTGTGCAGAGTGTTTGTCTCACCACCATCGTGTCCTGGGGTTTCGTGGGACATCCTGGGACATTGTGGGGCTCATCTGGCCACACAGGTGAACAAACTGAGGCTTGGAGAGGGCCTGCAGTTGGCCCAGAGCCCCAGAGCCCGCCAGTCCTCCGTTCCCTTTACTCCCCTGCCCGCCTGTCGGCTGAGTTTTCGGAGGGCTGTGCGGGGCAATGTGCTCGGGGCTCGTAACCCTGGCTCCTGGCACCCTGGGGTGGGGTCTGCCCCACCCACTTCCTAGGCTTGTGCCCAGTGACCCTGGTTCGCTGAGGGCCAGGGGAATTCCAGGTTGGCAGGTCGGGACCTGTCCCACCACCTGACCCCCTGCCAGCCGGCCCGGTTCCCCGCTGAGGGGGGCTGGGACCGGGCTAAGCAAGGGCCCCCTAGTCTTTCTGGCTATGAAGCGCCAGGGTCCCACAGGAGGATCCTGACTTCAGGGGTGGGTGGGGTGCTGAGGCCCAGAGAGGGGGAGCCCACCGTGACTCTGGCTTTCCGGGCCTGGGCTGGGCCCTGAGCCCCAGGCCTGGGAGCATGGATGTGGCTGGGTCTCCTCTCCCTCCTCTTCACCCAGCGGTGTCCCTAAGACACACACCTTGTGAATCCTGTGACCAGCGAGACCAGGGACCCACCCCAAGATCTCCCAACAGCACGACACTCCCCAACTTTGCCTTCCTCCTCGCTGTAGATGCTGGGGGGCGATCGGGCCGCCCCTGCTCACGCCACAGTTCCCTGTTCCTGTCACATCTGTGCTCACACGGGGGCGGGGGGCATGTGGGGGCTGCTCAGGCCAGGTCAGCCTGGGGCGTTGTCCCCCTGCTTCTGCCTCAGCCTGTTTCTGGGGTGGCCACTCTCTCCCAGGTTGAGCACCACTCAGGGGTGCTGCTGCTGGGGGGCAAAGGCCTCTGCTTCTAATAGCTGCCCCCACTCTGGGCTGGTCACGGGCTGCCTGGGCGCTCGGGAAGCCGGGGTTCATCCGTCATCCTGTACCCTGGAGGGCAGGCAGCAGGTGCTGTGCCACCCCCCTCCATTTGTTTCCCCCCACCGCCCCCTGCGCCTCTCCCTGCTTGGCTCTCTCCATGTTGTTGCTTTTCCGTCTTCCTTGTCCTCACCTCCTGGCTGCAGCTCCCTCACCTCCTTCCCCCGCTCAGGTGGGGGATCCGGGCTCTGCTCTTCCCATCAGTGTGTCTAGGTGGTGGTCACCCTCCAGGAGCAAGGGGAGGACACGACCCCGGGGACCCTCAGCTCTGGGCCAAGAGAGCCTCAGCTGGCACGCTCCTCTCCCCACACCTTGAGTGGGTGCGCAGCCGGGCTGGGGGCCAAATGCTGCTGTCAGCGCCTTCTTGGCCTTGCCATCCCCCCCGGCTGCGTCCCCTCCCTGGCTGCGTCAGGCCTCAACGGGTGGTGGGCAGGCAGCCCAGGGACTGGGACAGGGCGCCTGACGCACACAGGGCAGGGTGATGGGGAGGCTCTGAGTCATGGGGGGGTGGGGGGGACGCTGGGCCCCTGCCCAAGCAGGAGACCAGGAGGAGCAGGAGAGAGAGCCACGGGCAGGGTCACCTTGAGGCTCAGGTGAGCAGAGCTCAGAGTGGCCGGTGGTGGTGGTGGGGGGGTGGGGCTTGGCAGGCCTCTGCCCACCGGACTGCTGGGGAAGGGAAGAGGCAGGACAGGAGGAGCTCCCCACATGGAGCCTGGGCTCCTCCCTGCCCTGCCCCTTCCGTCCCCTCAGTCAGGCCTGCCCTTTCCCAAGGCTCCAGCCAGCTCAGCTGCACAACGCCCCCAACTCCCAGGGGTGCTGGAGCTGTTGGAGCAACCCAGAGGGTGGGGGTAGGGAAGGGGGTTGGCTAAAGTTGTGTGGCTAAAGTTGCCCGTGTGCACACATGCTCATGTGCACACATGCTCATGTACACACATGTGGGACATGTGCCTGCGACCCCCCGAGATGCCCCAGCGCCTCCCTCCCCACCTGCCCCACACAGGTGCACCACGTCCACGCGGGAGAACCCCTGTAGCTGGCTCTCGCATGCGTCCTGTGCACACGGGTGTGCGTTGCACACGTGCCTGCTGCACATCCGTCTCCTTGCACATGGCAGACACCCCTGCACCGGCGCTCTGAACCAGCACGGCCCTGCGCGTGCACCTGCATACAAATTTGGTCCCCAGACGTTTCTGGGTGGAGGAGCAGCAGACAGAGGGCGAGCTTGGCGACTCAGCCTCCAGGACCGCTGCTCTGCCTGTGGGCAGCGGGGAGACGGAGGCCCTGGGACTGGGACTGGCCTGGCGTGCCCTGGGCCAGCGGGAGCCCAGACCTCCTGACTTGGGCCCGTGGCCTCCCTTCCTGCCTTCCTCCAGGCATGGGCACCCCCACCCGCAGGCCACCCCAGCCCCCAAATTGGCCCCGCAGGAGACGGAGGTGTGAGGCCGCCGCGTCAGCTGCAGTCGGAGGGGCGATGCGGCCGTCTGGTTTGTGGACCACCTCCGCCACAAAAAAATGGCCGCCGAGATTTCTTTGGGGACTTTCCTTTCCCTCAAGCCTCTCCTCTGTTCTAGCCCTCTGGGGCTCAGGGCTGTAAATTGGTTTTGTTTTAAGGGCAAAGGGCTAACATTTGTCTCAAAGCAAGCTCTTTCCTGGAGGTTCCCAGGAGGGGAGGCAGGAGGCAGAGGCGGCTTTTGTGAACAGTCTACAGCTTTCTTTATCCAAACCTAATCTTCACATCCCTGGACACCGGCCGGGGTGGAGTGAGGGCGCGCCCAGAGTCCAGGGCCCACTCGGGGAAGCTGGAGCCCCGGCTGGCCGAGGGACTGTCTGGGTGATGGGAGCAAGCCTCCCCGGGCCTGGTTTCCCTGCTTGTGGAACGAGGGGCCGTGGGCTGTGAGCCCTGTGCCGCCCCTGCCCGGAGCATCTTGGCCTGGGCAGCACGGTTCACCTCTTCTGCCACGGTGGCCAGGTGGGGGTCTGGTCCCCACTGCGTAGATGTGGACACAGACCGAGACTTGGTGCTCTCCAGGCAGCCAGCTGGGCCCGGCAGACGGGGCTTCACCCACCTGACTCCTGCTGCCTCGGGAGACCCGGCCGGGCCCAGGCTGTGCTGTGTGACTTGGGGCAAGTCCCTGCTCCTCTCTGGGCCACGGACTCTTCAGCCAGGGGGAGGATGCTGAGTCCTGGCCACGCTGTGGGAGACCTCCGGCTTGTTCACCTGCCTGAGGCTCCCCCCCACCATGGACCAGAGCCCTCCACCAAAAAGCACTTTGAGGTGGTGATATTGGGGCGTCTCCGACTTCCCAGACTCACCCTCTCCCTTGGCTCTGCTCCTGCCTGTGGGACGAGCTCTCCGTGTGCCCTGGCCCTGCAGGAGACCCCAGCCTCTGCTTCCCCTGGCGTGGGGGGCCCACAGCCACGCTGCTCTGCCTCCCCTCCCCCCTGGAAGCCGAGACAAGGGAATTATTTTTGGAACAAGAGCGGTTACACAACAAATGAATTATTTATCTTTGGGCATGGAGGAGAGAAGGCATTTTGCTGGGCTTCTTAATTCTTTATCTGGATTGGGGGGTGTCCCCGTGGGTATGTGGCCATGTGTGTGGCCCGTTGGTGGTGTGCAGGGCGTAGGTGTGCTTGTGTGTGTGCGTGCGCGTGCCCGTGTGCCTGGCGTTCTGGTTCCCGAGGGGGCAGGCCGGTCTCCGTGAGGGTTGGTGGCCGGACACGGACAGGCGTGTCGGGGGGTGTCAGGGGGTGTGTGTGAGTGTGAGGGTGTGCGTGGGCACCTGACTGTCACTCTGCAGTCTCCCTTCCCTGCCCACTGTCTTGGGGCTCTGTCCCTGCTCCCCTTCCCCCTCTTCTCTCTTTTGTCTCCCTCCTCCCAGGACCCCCAGCCCCTCCACCCTCTGTCGCCACCCACTGATCTCACCCACTGGGACCCCAGAGTGCCGCTGGCACAGAGGATCCCCAGGAGAGGGCAGGGAGGGGGCTGGGGGCCCGCGCTGGAGCTCAGAGGGGCCGCTCTGAGCCTTCACACTGATCTGTCACCCCCTCTCGGTGCTGCCTTTCAGGAACCAGGTGACAGATGGGTCTCTTCCTTCCTGCCCCCATCTCTGGCGCTCCCCCCTCAGAGCTCCACTCTCCAGCCTCCCGCGGGAATCGTCTGAAGTTCTGAGCCCAGAACCCAAGGAGGAAGAGGAGGAGGAAGTGGAGGAGGAGGGAGAGGAATCGAGCCCTGATCCTGCGCGCCTTCCCGGCAGGAGAGGAGCAGCGCGGAAGCAGGCTGTGGGGCCCGCGGCGCCCCTGGCCCCGGCCTGGCCGCGGTGCCCGGTGCCCGCAGGTAGCCCCCCGGCAGTCCCCCGGTCCTTGGCACTGGCCGTGCCTGCTTCACCTGGGGCCCCCGTGCTGGGGGTCGCCCCCAAGATGGTGGCGGCCCCGGGGAGGACTGTGCTGCCGGCCCCAGCCTCCAGCCGCTAGGCCCCCCGCACCCCAGCCCCTGACCCTGAGCCCGGCCTGCGAGGGGGCCGTGGCTGGCGCCATGCTGCGCCTGGGGCTGTGCGCCGCGGCGCTGCTGTGCGTGTGCCGGCCGGGTGCCGTTCGCGCCGACTGCTGGCTCATCGAGGGCGACAAGGGGTACGTGTGGCTGGCCATCTGCAGCCAGAACCAGCCGCCCTACGAGACCATCCCGCAGCACATCAACAGCACCGTGCACGACCTGCGGCTCAACGAGAACAAGCTCAAGGCCGTGCTCTACTCCTCGCTCAACCGCTTCGGGAACCTCACCGACCTCAACCTCACCAAGAACGAGATCTCCTACATAGAGGACGGCGCCTTCCTGGGCCAGTCGAGCCTGCAGGTGCTGCAGCTGGGCTACAACAAGCTCAGCAACCTGACTGAGGGCATGCTGCGCGGCATGGGCCGGCTGCAGTTCCTCTTCGTGCAGCACAACCTCATCGAGGTGGTGACGCCGGCCGCCTTCTCCGAGTGCCCCAGCCTCATCAGCATCGACCTGTCCTCCAACCGCCTCAGCCGCCTGGACGGCGCCACCTTTGCCAGCCTGGCCAGCCTCATGGTGTGCGAGCTGGCCGGCAACCCCTTCAACTGTGAGTGCGACCTCTTCGGCTTCCTGGCCTGGCTGGTGGCCTTCAACAACGTCACCAAGAACTACGACCGCCTGCAGTGCGAGTCGCCCCGCGAGTTCGCCGGCTACCCGCTGCTGGTGCCCCGGCCCTACCACAGCCTCAACGCCATTACTGTGCTCCAGGCCAAGTGCCGCAATGGCTCGCTGCCCGCCCGGCCCGCCAGCCACCCCACGCCCTACTCCACCGACGCCCAGCGGGAGCCTGACGAGAACTCGGGCTTCAACCCCGATGAGATCCTCTCCGTGGAGCCGCCGGCCTCCTCCACCACCGACGCGTCCGCCGGGCCCGCCATCAAGCTGCACCAGGTCACCTTCACCTCGGCCACGCTGGTGGTCATCATCCCACACCCCTACAGCAAGATGTACGTGCTGGTCCAGTACAACAACAGCTACTTCTCTGACGTCATGACGCTCAAGAACAAGAAGGAGATCGTCACGCTCGACAAGCTGCGGGCACACACGGAGTACACCTTCTGCGTGACTTCGCTGCGCAACAACCGCCGCTTCAACCACACCTGCCTGACCTTCACCACACGGGACCCCGTCCCCGGCGACCTGGCGCCCAGCACCTCCACCACCACCCACTACATCATGACCATCCTGGGCTGTCTCTTCGGCATGGTCATCGTGCTGGGGGCCGTCTACTACTGTCTGCGCAAGCGGCGCATGCAGGAGGAAAAGCAGAAGTCCGTCAAGGTCAAGAAGACCATCCTGGAGATGCGCTACGGGGCCGACGTGGACGCCGGCTCGGTGGTCCACGCCGCCCAGAAGCTGGGCGAGCCCCCCGTGCTGCCCGTGTCCCGCATGTCCTCCATCCCCTCCATGATCGGGGAGAAGCTGCCCACCTCCAAGGGGCTGGAGGCCGGGCTGGACACGCCCAAGGTGGCCACCAAGGGCAACTACATCGAGGTGCGCACAGGTGTGGGTGGTGACGGCCTGGCCCGGCCTGAGGACGACCTCCCGGACCTGGAGAACGGCCAGGGCTCGGCGGCGGAGATCTCCACCATCGCCAAGGAGGTGGACAAGGTCAACCAGATCATCAACAATTGCATCGATGCCCTCAAGTTGGACTCGGCCTCCTTCCTGGGGGGGGGCGGGGGCGGCGGGGACCCCGAGCTGGCCTTCGAGTGCCAGTCCCTCCCTGCGGCCGCCACCGGCTCCTCCGCTGCTGCCCCCGGGGCCCTGGAGCGGCCCAGCTTCCTGTCACCCCCATACAAGGAGAGCTCCCACCACCCCCTACAGCGCCAGCTGAGCGCCGACGCCGCCGTGGCCCGCAAGACCTGCAGCGTCTCGTCCAGCGGCTCCATCAAGAGCGCCAAGGTCTTCAGCCTGGATGTGCCTGACCACCCGGCTGCCGCCGGGCTGGCCAAGGCCGACTCCAAGTACATCGAGAAGGGCAGCCCCCTCAACAGCCCGCTGGACCGGCTACCTCTGGTGCCCGCGGGCAGTGGGGGCGGCGGTGGCATCCACCACCTGGAGGTGAAGCCCGCCTACCACTGCAGCGAGCACCGGCACAGCTTCCCCGCCCTGTACTACGAGGAGGGCGCCGACAGCCTGAGCCAGCGCGTGTCCTTCCTCAAGCCGCTGACCCGCTCCAAGCGGGACTCCGCCTACTCGCAGCTCTCCCCCAGACACTACTACTCAGGTTACTCCTCCAGCCCTGAGTACTCATCCGAGAGCACGCACAAGATCTGGGAGCGCTTCCGGCCCTACAAGAAGCACCACCGGGAGGAGGTGTACATGGCCGCCGGCCACGCCCTGCGCAAGAAGGTCCAGTTCGCCAAGGACGAGGACCTGCACGACATCCTCGATTACTGGAAGGGGGTCTCGGCCCAGCAGAAGCTGTGACCCTCTCCTCCCTGGTGAGGTCGGAGGGGGAGGGCAGGGCGCGCGGGGAAGGGCCCGGGCGGCCGGGCGGGGCGCGCTGGGGGCCGAGGCCCCGCAGTGGACGCACACGCACACCCGCACGCACGCACCATGCACACACCTGACCACCACCTGACTGTGAACACCACCACCCGACAATAACGGACAGGAAAACAAAGACACGTTCTCCTTAAAGTTTACACACTGATACCGACACCAGTGTCTACTGTGCTGCCCAGGGCTCTGCAGGGGTGCGGGCTGGGTGAGGGCGGGGGGGGCAGATCAGGACGCCCAAAGAGGGTGTGGGGTCTGGGGCTCTGGGACGAGGACAGGTCTGGGGGAGAAGGAGGCCGGGCGGAGATGGAAGAGCCCCCTCTGGGGCAGGAAGAGGCGCCCCCCATCCTGGCTAGGCGCCAGGTCTCTTGGAGATAGCACCAGGGGGCCGGTGGGCCTCACGGCCTTCCTTTATGGATGGGGAAACTGAGGCCCGGAGAGAGGAAGTGATAAACCCAGGGTCACGTGGCAGGTTAGTCTCAGTGTCCCCACTCCCCAGCCCAGTGCTATTCGTGCCCCCAGAGGCTGCCCTGGGTTCCCCCTCTGTCCACCCACCACCCCTTCCAAAGTGGTGGTCTCCTTGGGGCCGAGGGACTTGAGAATCAGGAGGGTGCTTTTCCTTTCTAGAAAGCTCCATGGCTGCATCCCCAAAGCTGTGATTCATCATGCCGGGGGGCTTCTACCCCCACCCCTACGCCAGCACCCGGGAGAGGAATGAGGGGAGCATCCCCTGCTGGGGGGAGCACGGGACGTCCCACCAGCCCCTTCCAGTGTCTTCCAAGTAGTCTGGGGTCTGAGGAGAGCGGGCTGGGCCAGCTCCCACCGCATCTCAGGTGCAGCCCCCCGTGCTCCAGCCCCCCAGCTTCTCTGGGCCTCCAGGACCCCCTACTCATCCCAGAAGGACAGCAGTGACTGTGAGGCCTGGGAGCGGTGGGGAGGCTGGTGTCACGGGAGCCTTCTGCCTGGGCCTCCCGCCTGCCTGACCCCCATCATGGGCTCTCAGGGCAGATCTCAGCTGGGGTACCCACCCATGCCCCTGGCCTCAGGGCCCCAGGTTTCCAAGGAAGTGGCCACTCCCCCTTGCTGACCCCCACCCAACATTGAACAAAGCACAAACAGTGAGCACCCCCCAGGGCAGGGGGGCAGGTTGGGTTTCAGGGGCCCCTCCCCCCTCCCTGGCCAGTGTCTGTCGCCGCAGCAACCGGGGGCCTGGCAGTTAGGGCTGTTGGGCTCCTGGGGGTTCTTTCTCAGTGTGGGTGGCAGAGGGCTGCAGGGTGGGCAGGCCCCGCAGAGGCTGCCTTTCTCGAGAGCCAGGGGCACCTGGGACTAGCTCTGGGGGCCAGAGCTGGGGTCTTGAACACTCTCTAGGTGCCGAGGGGCCCGAGCCAGCAGGCCTTCCCTCCCCCTGTGGTTGGGAGGGGGTTGTGGGGGGGTAACTGTAGCTGGCCTGAGGCTCCCCAGGCTCCTGGTGATGGGCAAACTCACTCCCCCAGCCCTGCCGGACACCCCAGCCTCTGGCCTGTCACCCACTTGGGTTTCTTGAGATTTGGGGAATGTGACTGGGGGGTGAGGGTGGGTGCTGGGGTGGGATCAAGAGCTGTACTGTGTGTGGGGGGGGACTCTGACCGGGAAAGCTAGTGCCATTCCCTGGGGGTGGGCTCCTGTGATCCCCTGCTGGGGGGTCGGGTCTGGAGGAGGACAGTGGAAAACCAGGGGGCCTTTAGGCTCAACCGAGCACCTCTCTCACACCTATTTGGGGGACTGACCAAGCCCAAGGCTCACTTTGGGGGTGACATTTGCAAAGAAAGGACTTTTTCTGGGGAGTGGAGGGGAGGGGCCAGCATGGATATGCAGAGCAGACCTCCCCGCCCCCCAAGACCTGCTCCCCAACCCCTCCTCACACCGAATTGGCAAAACAGAGAATGAGCAGGCGGAGGAGCCAGCGGTGTGAGAAAGCAGATTCCCTGTTATATTTGCATGACGATTTTACTGTATTTTTCTGAGCAAACATCTGTCGTGTATGTGCCAGTTTGTCCAGACTCCCCTGCCCGCCCTGCCACCCCCTTTTCCCCCCTTCCTTCTGTTGTGATCTGACCAGCAGCTCTTGAAACCGGGGAGGGGCCATCTCTGCAAAAGACCCAAAACAGGTGCCACCAAACACTCGCCCCCCTGCCCCCCCACCTTTTGGAGGTGGGGTCCACAAGTGCCACCCCCTCTCTCCCATCGTCCTCTGCCAGGGAAGGAAGGCGGTGTGTGCCCCACTCGCTCCCATTCTGCAGATGAAGAAGTCGGGGTCCCCAAAGAGGAAGGGGCCTGGTGATTTGGCCACCGGGTGGGGTGGAAGGTCAGGTGGCTGCTGAGTACAAGAGAACAGGGCTTCCTGGGGGTGAAGGGGGGGACTTGGGGCTGAGAGGGAGGAACCCACGGGAGGAACCAGGGTCTGAGGCGGGCCTGGCCTCCCCGGAGCGGGAGGGTCTGAACAGCAGAAGCCGAGTCCCACCCTGGCCACCCCCACCATTCCTGGCTGAAGACACCAATGAACGCCTCCCACCGTGTTACTTCAGGGTTTAAGCACAGGCCTCACCCCAGTAGCCAGAGTCTTGCAGCCCAGGAGGTGAACCACCCATCACGACCCCGACATACCCATCTCTGAGGCAGAACAGAATCGAAAAGTCTGGCCTCTGGGCCATGCCGGTGCCCAGCTGCCGGGGCAAGACCTGCGGCTCTGGGGCGTGGCCCTGAGCTCTCGGTCCCTAATCTTTCCTGAGTCCTGTTCAGGATAATTCTGGGGGAAGGAGGAATAGGCTCAGGACAAATGAACACTGACATCGAGAAGCCTGGCTGGCGGGCTCTATGTTTGTAATGGCGATGGCCTGGGCTGGCCGGGGTTGCGGGACGGGGTGAGCGGACTGCCAGGGAGGAAAGAAGGGGGAACACTGGGGAGGAGGGGGGCCTGGTGGAGGGTGAGCGAGCTGATTGGAAGAGATGCGGGGGCCCCACTTGGGCCTCCCAGCCTCGGGGGTGCCTGCTCTCCCTGTCAGAGAATCTGAAGCCCGTTCCCGGGAAGTGGCACCGATGGGTCCCCTCTGTCCCCGAGGACAGAGCAGGGGCCTCTGGCCCTCTGTTGGAGCTAATGGCCTTCCAAAAGCGAAAGGGGGGGCTCTGATGGGGAAGGAAGCCTAGTCCAGTGTGGGCCCCTCCTCAGGGGTCTCAGGCTAGCTCCTCCCCTCTGCAGGGGGTGCCACTCTCTGCCCTCCCAGGCCCCTCGCCTCTGTGCCCCCCTTTGGGGAGGTGCGGGACCGTGGAGGCTGCCCCTGTCCAGGCTAGAGTGTCTGTGTCTGGGCAGGTCTGGGCAAAGGACTGTTGCAGGGCGGGGGTGGGGAGAGAGGGATGAGCCACGTGCTCAGGGTGGGCCTGGCGGAGGGTCACCCATGTTTCCAGCTGGATGTTACAGGCCCGCTCCCCCCACCTCCTGAAAGCTTAACAGAGGCGGAAACGGAGTAACGGGGACAGGACAGACGTCTTCTAGGGCACAAGACTGGTTAGGGACGGGCGAGGCCAGGAAGGGAGTCTGGCACGGGGCAAGAGGAGAGGGCAAGCGAGGTGGAGTGTTCTCGAGGCACAGGACCGTGCTGGCTGGGGAGGGCCTGAGAGAGGCCCCCCAGCTCTGGACGATGGGAGCCAAGGCTCTTCCGGCAGCCCTGGGAAAGTGAGGCCGGGGGGAGTGGGGTTTGGCGGGGCCGAAGGTCCCTGAGCCCCTCCTTGCATGGCCCCAGCGCTCGGGGGGCCTGGCCTGCAGCGGCCTCGCATGCCCGTCCTGGCAGCCTGGGGTCTTCTTTCTGGGGAAACGGGTGGGGGGCAAGGCCTGGGGCGGCCTGGTGTGTCTGAGCTCCTGTGGGCTCAAGGGGCAGGGCTGGAACTTGCTGATCCCAATGCCCGCTGCCAAGACTACTGCTCTGGGGCCTCCCGAGGCCAGGAGCGACCCTGTTGCTCGTCCATGCTGACCCTGTATCCTCCCACCTTTAAGACAGAATCAGTATTTCCGCTCTGCCCCCACGCCCGCTGGTAAAGGCGCCCCTCGCTGCTCGGGGCAGCAGGGGAGGAAGGGCATCAAGTGGGGTGGGGCAGGAGGATCTGGGCCTCCTCTATCCCCGGCCCCTCGCCAGACAAGCACAGGGCTGGGTGGGGCGAGGATCCATTCTCACCGTCCTCCCTAGACAAGCAGCGCCAGCCACCCTGGGCTGCGACTTGACACCTGGTTTGGGTCCTGCAGAGCTGGGTCCGCCCTCGGCTCAGATTCGTGAAGCCTAGCTGTGTGTAGACCTCGCCTCCCTGGGGCCGGGTGGGGGGCTGAATCCTCTCCTTTTCTTCTTTTAGGGGGGTAACTTCATTTATTTTCTCTCCCCTTTCTCTGCCTCTCCCTCCACCTAATTTCCTGTTTTAAACTGAATGGCACGAAATTGTTTTCCTCAACTCGGAGATTCCTGTATGGAGAAAGTCAATTTCTATATTTGCAATAAATTTCTTATTTAAAACAACAGGCCGGGCTCTGTGGTGAATGTCCACCCTTCCCCAAGTGGGGTCCAAGCGCCTCCAGCTCCTGCCGCCCTGCCCCGGGTCTTCTCTCAAGTAGGAGTAAGGGACAGGGCTCAGCTGGGCCATCGCCTCCCTGTCGCGAGGTGTTGGCCAGACAGAGGGCAGGCTGCTCCCCTCCAGAGGAAAGGGAGATGAGAGAGGGTCGACGTGAGCCTGGGGGGCCAGACCAGTCCGGATCCTCGATGCCCAAGACTCCCAGTGCACCCCCCCGGCCCCCGGCATGGGTTAAGGGGTCCCCTGTAATTATGGGGAATCTGGAAGTGCTCTCAAGGACAGCTTTGCTTTTGGGTACAGAAAAGCGCCCATGGTCTAGTTTCAAAAGGAAATCCTACCCACTGAAGTCACAGATTCCAAGACCCTCCCCTTTTCACTTTGACTCAAAAGTTAATCTACTTAGTAAAGTTCAACGTTCCCATTTAAAGGATCTTGGCTAATCTAGATCCTGCTTCCGGGAGTCAGTTTCCCCCCCGAAGATCTCTGTTTTGTTCTCTTGCTTAATGAAGCATGAATCACCACGTTGTCCCTTCTGGGGTGGTCCGTGCTGGTCTCTGACGTCTAAGAGGTGTTCCAGGTCCACCCCAGGCTGCGGGGCCCTCGGGGTGCAGCGCTGGCGTGGGTTAACTTTCAGATTTCTCTGGGAGCAGAGCAAGGAGCCTCCCCTGATGCTGCTTTGGGCCGAATCTGGAGTCGTTCATTGAAAGGCCCTTAACTATCCCAAACTTTGTCCAAAGTGTAACGCACCTGACTTTCTGCTGGGAAGTACTTAGGTGAAGACCAACCCACGCCCTTCCCCGGACACTTGCCCCTCATTCCGAGGGCAGCAAGGTTCTTGTCACGTCCTCATCTCCTTGTCACTTGAGTGGTGTTTCCAAGAAAATCACGGTTCTGTGAATTCCCTGTTTACAAAGAATCTATTGGAAATTCAAGGACACGGGTGTTGTGATAGCGCAAACATCACAAAGCCTGAAACTCTGAAGGTGCCAGCCACCCTACCGGTGACGTCTGCTCTGTATGCACTTCTAATTCTTTCTGGGGCGAGGAGGTTTTCATCCAGTAAGGAACAAATGTCACCCAGTGGGCCTGCCCTGGGGGCAGTTTTGGGTAAAACCTTCTTGCTGGCTGGGCTCCCGTGGACCAGATCTCAGCTGGGACCTGTGCCCAGCCGGGCCCCCAAGTTTCCTGTGTCGTGTCCTCTACACGGGGCTCTCTCAAACCAGCGCCTGGGCGGGGTCCAAGCTGCGGGGACCCTGGCTCTTCTGGCTCTTCCAGGATGTCGGCCACCCCACCTGTGCCCCTCTGGCCCCCGGCCAGCCTGGCACCTCTCCCTTCTCCAGATTTGTGAAAACTCCTCCATGGAGGAGGCATTGCCCCACTAGGAGCTCACAGGAGGGCTCCCCGGGCTCTGCCGGGGCTTGGTTTGAAGGTGTTCACAGTTCCAAGGTTACCTTGGCCAGGGCGCTCCCTCCTAAGCCTCTGTGGAGTTGCCTCAGCAGCTCCCTGCCCCCAGCTTCCGTCGTGTTAGCAGCAGAGAACCTCTTGCTCCAGAGACACCAGCAGACAAGCACTTAAGCCTGAAGGACATTGGGTCTCAGGCCAGTCCTTGAAGCCTCTGTGGGGCCCCAGACTCTTCTTGCCCCAGGCCTGCCTCCTCCTGCCTCAGCCGGGGGCGGAGGTCTTCTCTAGACCCTGGCAGCCTCCAGGCTGGACCCCAGCCCTGGCCTGGGCCGCGGCGCCCCAGCGGTCTGCTGCCTTTTCCTCCACGGCTCTGAACCTCCTCCTCCCTCAAGGAATCAAGAGATGCAACTTGTCTCTCTGGACAGGCAGCGAGGCCTGGTGTCAGCCGGCAACCTCGGCGAAACTGCCAGGTCCCAGCCTCTCCCCATTAGGCAGAGCCTCTCCCTTCCATTTTCTCGGGCCCTGCTGTCCAACTACTGCTCCTCCCTCTCCCCATCAGGGAGCCACCCCTGATTCTCCCTGGATTGCTACAGGGGCATGTAA